CCACACATTCTTTAATAAAATAATATTTTCCATCACATTAATACTTTTTTCTTCTTTTTCAACCACACATTTCCCATCATATCACTATTCAAAAATCAATTCTTCCCCCAAAAATCTCTACCAAACACACTCTAAAATTAATTCAATAAAGAACAAATAGAAAGGAATATGTCTTGTAATAATATCTCTCAAATTGTATATATTTACATGAAAAGAATAATCATATTTATATGAAATCCATAAATTTAGTTAAAAATGGAATTAAGCCTTAAAAAAATCAAAAGATACCATACAAGAGTTTTAACTAAAATAGAAGTTTAGGCGAAATTTAAAAAAAAAAAAAAGCGTCCAGAATTGTCCTATGCAGTCACATAGGCATTTCTTCAGTCTTCAGTGCGGTTTTGATAAGGATGCATGCGGCCGTATATGTAGGTATTTTATGCGATCACATAGCTTTGCCCTTTAGCTCCCTCGCATGTTGCTTACACCAAGTTAATCCACCTTGTTCCATCTTCCATACCCAATATGAAACTTGTCATTTTTCTTATTGTGGCTGATGTTTTATCCACTATAGTTTAACAAGTAATCTCATGGCTTTTTTAACCTTCTTTGCTCATGACCTAGTCATTGGTCATTCCTCCACGATCAATGGGTCATTGTCCTTGCTACCTCCCTTACCATAGTTCTCATCATTCCCTTCATCTTCAAAAAGATCCGTCCTCGAATCTCCACCTGCATCAAACAAGGAAATATCAAAAATATTAAAAGTAGTAAAAATGTTGTTCTTACATGGAAGATCCAACTTATAGGCATTGTCATTGATCTTTTCAATCACATGGAATGATCTATCTCTTCTCGGTTGTAACTTTGACTTCCGTTCTAGTTCAAATGTAATGTGCTTCCATCCTTATTTGCTTGAAAAGCATAATGTTCATTTTTCTTCTCGATTTGGCACTTACCTTCTCATGGAAGGATCTTATCAACTCAGCCTTCTTTTTTCTATCTAAGCTACCTCTCTCATCAACATGTAAATGAATTAAATCGAAAGGTGGTAGTGAATTAAAATCATAAACAATTTCAAATAGAATATAGGAAATAGTAAAATACATGCCCCTATTAAATGTAAATTCTATAAATTGCAATCAATTTTTCCAACTTTTCAAGTTTTTGTTGACTATAGTGTGCAATAATTATGTCGTAGTCTTATTAACAACCTCAGTTGCCCATCCGTTTGTAGGTGACAAGCTGTAGAGAATAATAACTTAATTCCTAGCTTGCTCTACAAAGCTTTCCAAAAATGATTAAGGAACTTAACATCTCTATTCAATACAATACTCGTACATATCCCATGTAAGCGCACTATTTCTTCAAAGAATAAATTCGCAATATTAGTGGCATCATCATTTTTATGACATAGAATGAAATGTATCATCTTATTAAATCTATCAACCACCACAAATATAGAATCTCTTCATTTCTTAGTTCTAGATAAATCTAACACAAAGTCTATAGACACATCAACACAAGGCTCACTAGAAATGGATAATGACGTAAATAAACCTTGAGGTAAAGCCTTAGACTTAGCATTTTTACAAGTGATGCACCTATTACAATCTCGATCAACATCAACTTTCATCTTAGGCCAATAGAAGTGTTCATTCAACATCTTCAAGGTTTTCATAATCCCAAAGTTACCCATTAAACCTTCACTATGTATTTCACGCATTAACAATTCTCTCATTGAACACCTAAGTAACATAACTTATTCTCCCGAAATAAATATCCATCATGCCTAAAGAATATATATATGACATCTTTGTCACATGATTTATATATATTAGAAAAGTCTGGGTCATTAGTATATATAAGTCT